TTTTCAACTCAGATAAAATGCTTAAGGGGTACTTTTTAGTTGAGAAAGGAATATGTACTTTCAACAATATCACTTTATTGTTTGTTTATTTTTTTTATCTATTTGAATTTATACTATGATAGATACACATTACTATTCAAAAATACATGAATAATTTAAAACTCTTTTTAAAGTCTAATTTAAGGCTAAGTCTCTCTTTTTTGTTAATCCTCAACCAAGGATATTTTTTCCATTGCATTTATTTCAGAGTAGAAGGGAGAGAGAGAGAGAGATAGACACAACAGTGATGAGAATCATTGATCGGCTGCCTCCTGCACACCCTCTACTGTGGGTGGAGCCCGCAACACGGCATGTGTCCTTGACCAGAATCAAACCCAGGACCCTTCAGTCCACAGGCTGACACTCTATCCACTGAGCCAACTGGCTAGGTGGGCAACAAGTATATTTTTTAAAAAGTGTAATAGTAACTGTTGTTCAAGTCTAAACATGAGGGCAGGACTAGCTAGACTCAGAGATGAAGAGATTTGTTTGGGTGGCAAGAGATTTATTGAAAAATGAAGGACAGAAGAAGCCCTTTCCACACAGCTCCTAGCTCGGCTGTCTCTTTAAATACCTTGGGTTTTTTTGGGCCGTTTTCATCCCGAGATCCTGAAGATAAAAAGGGAGGGGCCCACAAGAGAGGAGGGGAGCAGGAAACGACCTTTGCTGAGTTTCCAACGATCCTGTGTGTGGTGGATATTGGGAACGAGTTCTGACGTGGCTCATTCTTGCTGCTTTAGGTGGTTGGCCTGTGAGTCATGTGATAGCTATGAGTTTTTAGATGATTCATAAAAAGATTTTAAACCAGTTTGGAATTTTTGAGTCACTACCAGGTGTTTATGTTGGGTGGGACCCTTTTCGAGTCAGGGGTAGCTATGTGCTTGCGGCCAAAGGACATGTCTTCCCAGAGCCTGAAGCTCCAGTGTGCAAGTTGGGTTTTCAAGTACAAGCTGGCGGAAGTCCAAGCCAGGTTTCGGAGAAGCTAGGGTGCTTTCTTGGTGAGGTCTCTGCAGACTCGCGAGTATGAGGGTGAGGGGGAGAGAGAGTCACATTTTGTGGGAGAGAAAGAATGTTGGCACGTGGTGTCAGAGGTACATGGATCTCCTAGCTCAGTGGTTCTCAACCTTGGCTGCCTTTTAGCATCACCTGGGAATCTTTTTAAAATCCTGATTTCTGGACCTCATCCTCGGGGAATTCTGTTTCTTTGTGACTAATGTTGTGGCCGCATCCCATAACAAAGACACGGAACTAATGTTGTGGCCCCATCCCATAACAAAGAAACGGAATTACTGGAGGATGAGGCCCAGAAATCAGGATTTTAAAAAGATTCCCAGGTGATGCTAATGGGCAGCCAAGGTTGAGAACCACTGTCCTAGCTTCTTGTTCTTGTCTTATATCTGATTTCAAGTCCTGAAATAAATCATTTCTAAACCTCATGACAGTCCTTTTATAGACTCACCAGTGACCCTGTGCACAAAATTCATGCACATTAAAAGGATATTAATTAGAGGAAATATTTTAATATTGCTATTTGCCCTTTCTCTATAATGGAAGTGTGAGAGATGAAAGAAAATTAGTAAAATGTATATGAAAATCTTCCTACTGTCAGAGTCTGGGGCACGCCATGGGAACCAGAGTCAAGTCCCCGCCCACCCACGTGCACCTCGAAATCGAGAGAGACTCAGACCTGGCCGGCCCCACCCCGATTGGGCTAGATCCAGACCCGGCCGGCTCCAACGCCATCAAGCCCCACCAGGCGGGGGGTGCACCTTGAGGTCGCCCGTCAAGCCCCGTGGGCAGAGGGTGCAACCTAAGGTCCCCCAGTCAAGCCCTGCATGGTAGGGGGGACGCAGCCTCTCGTCCTCTGGCCCAGCGCCAGGGCAGGGGTTGTGGCCTGAGGTCCCCTGGCCTGGAACCAGGGCAGGGGGTGTGCCCTGAGGTGCCCTGCCAGGTGGGAGGGTGTGGCATGAGGTCCCCCAGCCTGGCGCCAGGGTGTGGGGCGTGGCTGTCAAGCCCCACCAGGTGGGGGGTGGGGGGTCCTGCGCAGCCTCGGGTCCCTGATTGTTCGTTAAGGCTCATTACAGGTGCTTGGCCTCCGATGTGGGTGCAGCCATCTTGTGTTATGGAATCCCTCCTGCGCTGTGGGCGCAGCCATCTTGACCGTTACGGCATTCTGGTCAATTTGCATATTCCCTCTTTATTAGCTAGAAGAGTAGCACTTTCAGTGGGAAAGCTAACTGTGCAACCACCTGGATTTCACAGTCATGGGCAGGAATTAACGCTCCAGCCAGATTCTGGGCCTGACTCTGTCCCTTCCTGGTGACCACGATGCTTTGACCTCTGCGAGCCCTGGTGGCTCATCTCTAAGCTGGACGCCTCTCATGGTTCATGAGTCCATGAACCGCGGAGGGTGAGGATGAGCAGCCTAAAGTGAGGGGTCCCCTGGTGTGGCCCTAAGCCTGTGTCTTCTGCAGACACATTGGCTGAAATTCCCTGGGCAGGTGATGGGCCCGTTGGCGGGTGATGTAACACTTCTTGTTTATGCTTTTGTTTTTCCTTTTACGATGACTGTAATATGTGTGTTACTGTTACAATAAAAAAGTACTGGCCAGGGGAGGAAACAGTTAAAATCAAGACTAAAGTTAAAACCCAAGCAAAGATCTGATCTAAGCTCGGGGAGTATGAGGAAGTAGGCCTTGTCTCTTTACTCAGGTGTGTCCCTGGCTCCGACCCACCTTCCGGACCCCAACCTGCGCCTGCCTCTGCGAGGCCACCGGCTGTCAGTTAACCATCAGGGCAGGGGGTCACGGTCAACGGGGCCCAGCTGAGATGGTGCCTCCGGATGCTGACCCAGCAGGCATTCCCGTGGGGGGACGCCTCTCGGAGCTGGGTGGGAGCAGCTGGGCAGGCTGGGCTCCCCGGTGACCGTGCCCGCCCCCCATGTTTTGCAGCTCGCCCGTGCATCGTGGGGGAGTGGAGCCCCTGGAGCGGCTGCTCGGACCAGTGCAGGCCGGGGACCCGCGTGCGGCG